CGCAGCGAGCCGATTTTCATTTGAATCCCTACTCAACTTAACGGGAACAATATATTATTGATCTGTAATTCTGAGAAGTTTTGGTGTAGTATCGAACTCGGCCAAGCGCGATGCAAACGGATTTTTCAAGGCTCTCTTGCTCTCCTCGCATCTTCTGGTACATGCGCAGTAACCGGATACTGTTCCTTAAATGTTAAGAGGGTTGCACAACAATACCGAGGCGCATATTTCGAGCTAAGCCTGGCTTTCCTTTTGATCGCTGAAAAAAAGAAAAAGTTCGGTGATCGTAGCGATCATATGGAAACCACTCTCCAGCGATCGTAGCGACCCACTGAGATAGGACTTTCAGCGATCGTTGGCGCTGCTATCGCGTTTTTTTTTTTCAGCGATCGTATGGAAACAGGGCTTTAGGCTACCTTGCAAAAATAAAAATGACGACAGAACCCGCCAGCACTGAAGATCCCAGTCACGCCACGTCAACTGAGATCAGTAGGCCCTCAGCTCCGGCGAAAGCCTACAAACCTCAGTCATCACTGCATAGACCGTTTCCTCTCCACTGTTAGCACGGCGCTGCCGAGCCGAGCCAGCGGTGCACCAATACCGACTCGACTAATAACTGCATGGGGTTAGTTTGGTATTTATTTGTGAGACATCCGCCGACACCTCACTTATGGTAGCCTAACTAAATTAATTATTAACAGTTACAGAAAACACATAGTAATTACAACAAAGACAAGCTCAAATATATAAAAACTCGATCAGTTGTAGGAATAGTGGCGGGACGAGAAGTGTGGCAATTTACATTTGGTTAATTGGTCAAGCTCGACCTCAAAGCTCTTCTCCACATGACGACCATTCCCAAAACCGTAAGTACTGGGGTCGAGAATGGTTAGTTGGTACGAAATACAGAAACGCATGCGCATCTGGGGCCAGTTGCAAAAATCTGCAAGTCGCACGTAGACGCTAGGGTCTGTTTTAAAGTCCAGTCAAACTCTGTATTTCAACGCTAGACGTTAGGCTGACCCCTAACCATTAAAATTAACAGGAGACAGACCGCAAATTGTTGTTGCTCAAAATACCTATAAGTTGGAACTGATCATCAATAGGATTCCTAAAATGTGTGCAATGCCACGATTAGTTTCAACTCCATTAAATCCTATACCAAATAAAGAACATTTTAGGAGGAGCCACCTACAATGTGAGCACTGACAAGGCATATGAATAGGAAAACAGCCCACACACAACCTACACCAACTGAAAGGATACTAAATTAAGGTGGGTCCGTCATTAAACATTTAGCCGACAAACTTTTAATCATAACGTTTACGTTTTTAACGCGATGGTTGGGAAACCAGATATCATCCGGCAATAGTATGAAATATTCCGATTTTATTGATGGTAAATATTTTTGGCGAAATTAGCGCTTTAAAGGGCCGTACTGTTCATTGAAAATCGCTTCCAGTAAAACATTGCTGACTTTTGACTGAAATTTGTGGTATCGGCTTCTATTGATATAATAAATACGCCAGAGAAATTTCCAGGGAAATCGTTGGAGCAGAAGTCCGTAACTAGAACGTCGACCACAATTCAGCTGTTGAATTGTTCTGGAATTTCGAAAATAAATTGCCCAGAGGTAGAACGGACGAGCCACCAGTTAGAAATTTTGGGACAAGTAGTTCCATTATTTGGTAATTCTTAATTCTTACTGAATTTACAACAAAATCGTGAAAACGGAGTTGACAAATCCCGAAAAACTGTCAAACAACGCCCTCATTATGTGATGGCGTTTATTTACATATATTACTGTCCTTTTTTATTCAACTGACTTGGTAATCGCTAAAGCAACTATCCCCTCATGTAGGGTCGGTACATAGTATACCTCGATGTTTCACGTCTCGGTGTTTCCCACCTCTAATCGCCTCCCCTTCAGGAGATAGCTGTCAAAAGTTGATCCTCTCTACAACGGCCACCTTGGGGTTAGAAGCAAGTGGCCATTGTAAGGAAGTGGCCGTTGGTGGAAGTTCGAAGTATTACCAATATCGAAATAAAATCAACAAAAGAATTTTCGAACAAGTCTCACTGATAGTTTTCAAGCACGGGCCTGCTTGAAAATTTTCGTCGCGCCTTTTTTCCCGACCCAACTGACTGACCCTGGGTCTCTGAGGATGACTGATAGCGTAAAGTCGCAGTTTTTACAAAAAAAACCCGCTGGGTTAATACTGCACATAAAACTGGATTTACTACATTTCTTTTGGAAGCACATTCTTTATTTGAAATGAGTGAAATGACAGATTTGTAGCATATCCAACTCCCATGCAAGTGCTGCCACAGTTTGAAAGGTGACTTCAAATCAATCGATGCATTATTAAAGAAAATGTCTTGCCTTCCAAGAAGACATACAGAGAGCGAAATGAAAAGGAATTGTTCACACAAATGTCGTTTTCCTCCTTTTCAGAATTGTTTTGACGATGTTACTTTACAACGTCTCTGCGGGGCCGGTTAAACGAGGTTTATATAACTTAAGTCGCGGTTTGACAAATCTTTGGACCTCCAGATCTCTTCCTTAGTGCATTATTTAAAGAAGATAAATGCTTTTCTAGTCTACACTATATGCTTTCATAAAAAAGTTCACAATAAACGGTGTTTAGATGAAACCGTTGGGCAAATTAAAAAGGGCTTAGAACGCAGTCTTGTTAAACACTGGCTAAATTAGGCTAAAATAACTGGCCCTCTGTTTCTAAGATCCCGCCACAAGAGAGCGTTTTCACATGACGCACGGCGGCTATATTGGTGTCCCAAAAAATAAAAAGGCGGCCGCGTTGGTGTTCCAACCCAGTCCTGTGGGAGTTAAACCTTCTTCTTTTGTAAACACTTTATTCTGTTCTAATGAATTTGAAAAGCTGCTGGCCAGGTGAAGACGCATACATTTCATACCACTTTGGCCTTGCTATTCACATTAGAAAGAAAATGGCGTAAGTGCATGAAAATGAAATTTTAGGCAAACACTCTCGAAACTGTACATTTTTTAAAAAAACTAGATGGACAATAATGAAGCTTTTCGAAAAACGCTGGCTTCATGGCTACTCATTCATAACCCGGCTGGTGTAAAACGAAGCAACAATAAGGGAAATCGAAAACAGCACGTCTGTCCGACGAACATAAGCGTGCCTCGTACCTGGCATATTTTTCGATAGTTTCATGTACACGGTTAAACACGATGTGAAAACGCTGGTGTAAACTCAAAACATCTAACCCGGCTGGTTAGCGTGTGATTAACCTTTGCATGATTAATTATTCTACATCGTAATTCTGTCCGTCGATGATCTGTTTTTCACAAATGCAATAACGAACAGTAACATGCTAATACGTTAACAACTATTTACATCGTTCCACATAATGAGCTATGACTCATTTTATAGGATGTCTTTATTCCTTCGAATTTGATACAAGGTGCTGAACAAACGCGCGCTGTGAAAGTCGAATCTTTTGAAATTACCCTAAGCTTGTTTATTAGAGGCAACGAATCAACGAAAAAAAATACAATTGATTAACTATTTGTGGAAAAGTAAGGTTCAGTGTTAAACAAGCGTTGACGTCATTTAGAAAAAAATAGTCGAAATTGGTCAACAGGCCAACCTTAGTAGAGGCCAATTCTAATTTCAACGATTATCAATGTTTATAAAATGTTTTTTCGTTTTCTTAATATTTCCATTAATAACTATAATTATCCTTTTTACATTGTTGTTTTGTTTTATTTTTATAGGCAAAGGTGTTGGCTGGTGTTAAAACGTTTCAAGGGCGCCCTTGCGGTCATCTTCGAATTTAACTCGACGTTTTTATGGTTTCTAATTGCATCACAGTTCAGCGTTTCACTTCGATTTCCTTACCATTGCTTTAATGGATATCAATGCACGGTTTTGCCTTGGCAACATCTCAACTGTCAGAAGTGAATGAATGTTTATATTATTCATTTTGAAGAGGACCTGTCATGCATAAATGACTTTTGAGTAACATAAATATCATTCGAAACCTTAAGTCCCGGATATTTTTTGGCCCTGTCTACTGAAGAAACGAAAACACTTCACTCAACGTGTACGATTTGGCAAAAAAGGTCGAACATACAAGAAGCGTTTTCTCTCAAACTCTGCAGAAGTAAGGTATGGATTTGCTGAAGAGACTCTTTCCTCTATGATATTACGATTTTGAAAAGGTGATTTTTTGTCCGAAGTGTAATTTGATTCAAGGTACCGTAAAATAATTTCAAGGGTGAAGAAAGATACAGAATGATGTTCTCTAAATTTGCAATGCAATGATTATGGAGTACACATTTTTAATCTCGGACACCTAAAATGAACAAAGCAAAAGGTTCTTACATCGACCTCAGTACGAAAAGTAAAGGTTCCAGAAAATGATTTTATGGATATCAGCTTCATTGTCACTAATTTCTTTTGAACCCTAGTCAGACATGATTAACATGTAAGAATTTTCTCTTGGGGGGTGTGCTTATCATAGCTTTAAAGTTGGCTATCAAGTTATTAATAATTATTTCTAATCTAATGAAGAGCTGTACGCCTGCAGTGAGGATTAATTCAGCAACTTTAAATAAGTGAAGAGTACGATTGCAATGTTGTCGTCATTTGATAAAATCTTCCCGGCTAATGGTGCGCAGGCGTCGATTCGATTCCAAGAATTACTTAAAAAGGCCTAGTTGTGATATATATGTTCTTTCTGTCGCGAGTAACGCTGGTGGCAATATTAATTATTAAAAAGCTTACTTGACAACTGCAAATATCTTTTACGCTGCACTCGCTTACGAACGCACGTTCTGCGTACTTTTTTTTTCTGTATACGTGTATTTTCGCTCGAGATGCAATGATTCGCGGCCATGACCCGTACTGGATCTATTAGATTTCTTGCCAAAAGCAAAACTTCACATGTTAGATAATTCTTGCCAAGAATAGACTGATTTGGAATCCGCGCTTTTAGTTTGCTTGAATAACATGGAAGGGTTTGATGCGTCCAACGAAAACGTCGAGGTGGAACTTCAAAGACAGCAGTTTGTTAAAGAAAAAAATGACATCGTTTGTGGCTTTCTCAAAGAAAAGGAAATTATTGAAATTATGCACAAGGAGGAAGTAGACGATCTCGTGGCAAGGCACGAGCAAGAGAAGGAATTGATGCGAAAAGAATTTCAATTAGAAAAACAGGACCTGTTGCAAGAATTTCAAAAACAACAGGTGGAAAGCGTAAACGAGTTTAAGCGTGAGAGGGAAAATTATGAAAGAAAAACAGCGATGGATCTTCAGTCGAGAGAAAGGAATCTCGAAATGAAATACAAAGAGGAAAAGCTAAAGATGAGGAGAGAATATGAGGAAATTATTGCCGAAAAAAACGAAGAAATAAAAATGATACGAAGGGAATTGCTCCGTGTTGAGCATCAAGAAAATTTATCAGTTAGACACTTCCCGGACAGTGATGTTTGTATTACAAAAATTGAACATAACGAGGAATTAAAACGACTAGCTGAAAAATTTAATGTTGAAAAGTTAGAACTCGTTAGGGAATTTGATCGAGACAAAGCGAAGCTTGTACAAGTGTTTTCAAACCAGGCGGAGCGTATGAATTCAAACTTTGATCACGTAAAGCAAAGAATGCAAGACGATCAAGAAAAGGAGCTAGAATTTAAACTAGAAATTACAGAAAAGTTGCTTTCTGAAAAGTTCGAACTCGAGAAGAAAAGAATGCTTCAGCAGTTTGAGCGCGAAATGAAAGAATTACAGGAAAGTTTAGAGTTTGGCTATAATGAGACACTTCTTGAGAAAAAGCAGACCATCGATGATCTTGAGCAAGAAAAAAGGAGATTGCTCAATGCATTACATACTGAAAGATTTAGTCTAGCCAGAATTTATAACCGTGAAATGTCTTTACTTACAAAATCAGATCAAATAACCAAAGAAGACGTCGAAGTTGCACTCATCGATGAAACTGCAAAACTGAAACAGCAATATGAGGATGAATTAAATAAAATGGAGCAACAACATAAGCAGAAGATTGAAGTGATTAAAAGGAAGCAAAGACCAATTCGGGAATCAGAGCTTGAACATCGCAAGGAAATCGAGAAGTTGAAGAAAGACTTCGAAAATGAGAAGGGACGTTTGGAAACTGAATTCCGGAAGGAGCAGTTTAATTTGTTGAAGAGTTTCGAGTTTGAGAAAAATGACCTGCAACAGGAATATGAAGGAGTTATAAATGAAAAAGAATTGGAAATGCAACAGAGGGAAAGTGATATGAGGCAGCTCTATGAAGAAGAACTTGATAGGCTAAAATCAATTGTCGCGAAGCAACGAGAAGAGCTTGAGACCTCTAAACAGAAACTCACAGACTTAGCCGATCAAACAGAGGAATTTTTGAGCGAAAAAAACAGGATAGAAGAAAAATTTCTTAAAGAGAATAATCACCGCCAAAGCCTCCAGCAAACAATGGAGGCAAATATCAAGACTTACGAGAGAAACATGAAAGAAGTCGAAGCCTTTCACAAAAAGGAACTTGCCCAGCTAAGAAAAGAAAAAGAACAGTTGCAAAAAATTGAAAGTGAAAAGAAAGATTTGCAAAAGGAAGTCGACTCACTTAAAGTAAAGCTGGAGGAGGTACAAATTGCTTCAGAAAAAGAGGCTGAGGTTGGCAGTTCGTTTGTTACAGAACCAACAGTTACTGTTGATGGCGAAGCATACAAAGAAATTGAAGGGATGAGGGTTGATGTTAAATCCAAACCAACAGAAACCAGAGATGAAACATTGAAAAGTGAGAAAGAAGAAATGAATGACTTTCTCCGAAAAATTCGTGAAAGACTGAGGAGGTGCATGATCAAAGGAAAAGAGCCAAAAACGTTGGAGGAGTTTGAAATGTCCTACAAACAAATGAAGGATGTCATTAATCAGGAAATCGTTGAAATTGACAAGATCTGTGGTAGTAAAGAAAATGGCGAACATGATATCACCATTTTGCTTCCAGAAGAGCCAACATTTTCTTTGAAAGACCAAGTGCAAGCTGTAGATGACCTTTTGGGAGAAGAAAATACCAAAGGAAATATTGACAAATCTACAAACGAGAAAATAAATCTACAAGTGAAAGGGCTGCTTAAGAAAGTTCATAGATCGCATGAGCTAGAAAAGCTAAAGCTGAAAGAGGAACAACAGCATGAATTCAGTAACGTATTGAAAGAGTTGGCCAATGAGAAGACAGCCAAAGTTCAAGAGTCAGTAAAAGATTTAAGGCATCTTCAGGATACAAATAAACGTGGGGATCGTTCACCTACGTGTGCTGAGATAAAGGCCACCAAAGACAGGGGTACATCGACAGACGATCTTCACCAAACAAGGAACGATAAGACTTCAATGAGCTCTTTAGATATGGTAAACGAGTTAAGGCGCGAAAACGAAGGACTGAGACGTTCCTTTGATGAACTTGAAAACGCACTCACAAAAGATAAGAAAGAACTAACGGAAAAACTTCAAACACAGCATCTCGACTTTGTAATGAGCGCAGAGGGCGAAATAATTGAGAAACTACTAAAGCAGAAGTCGAGTCTTGAAGAGGCCCTCAACACCGAAAGATTCTATTTGAGTAGGCTATATTACCAGGAGATGAAAGACGAATTAGGGGACATTCTTTCTAGAAGAACAGAAAAAATTAAGAGGGAATTCAACTGTGAAAAAATGAACCTCATTTTCAAATACGAACGTGACATTACGGATTTGCAAAAATTGCTTTCTGAGAAAGCGGAGCTGGAAATGAGGTTACTTCAAGAAAGAAATGACGTCACAGCAAAGCTGCTGGCTGCACATAAAAAGGCTTCACCTGAAAAGAGTAAGAGAGAGCGGCTTAAAGAAAAAGAGAGACTCGAAAGAGATAAAGAAAATCTTGAAACTGCCATTCCACTTAAGAAGGAAATTGCTGCGCTACAGAATAAACGCCATCAAGAACACGAAAAAGCTGCTGCAAATCTCAAGGAAGCTATTGACCTGATAATGGACGTCATGGCCAGTGATCCGCTTACCACACCAGAAGACGTTAAGCCTTTTGATAGTCTGAGCTTTCTTAGCCAGGATACTACACGATCCAATGTAGTCTCGTCAGCGAACAAATTAAATGAGAACGGTTTTAAAACACACACCCAAGCTTTGCTATTGCAAAACGAAATTCACAACAGGGATGAGCTAAGGAAAGCCTTAGAGAAACTCGTAGACACTGTAGTTAGCGAGGACGAAGAGTTCACGTGCGAATCAGAGACAACGTCCGGTGCGAGTTCTGATTTGGAGTCAGAAGATTCAGGTACCGGCGCATTAAACGGCGACATTGACGAGGGAGCGTATTCTGGGCCAGAATCGAATGATGATGAGAACACATTGAACATCAAGAAAAAGGAACTTGAATTTGCCTTTAACCTCGAGAGGTTCAATCTTGGAAGAATTTATTATGGAGAATACAAGGATAGCTTGCGCAAAGCAATGAAGAAATTAGAACAGGCAAAAGAGGCTCTTCGCAGTAAAAGAAAGGATTTGGAAAAAGAAATGCTTAACGGAATAGAATTGGTTGTCAGCCGCACTCATTTTGGAGAGGTTTCAACGCAAGCATCAAAACGAGATACAGGAACGCAAACAGTGAAGGAATATATGTTGGAGAAGAGTTCAGAGGACTTAGTGGATGGACAGGGGCTCTCAAAAATAAAGACAACGGCAGTTACAATGGAACCGCCGGATGAGGATGACAGTAGACGGACTGATTTCCGGGAAAACATGGAAGGTAAGCAAGAAGACAAGACAGACAACAAAGAACAAGAAAAAGAGAAAGGCAAACCAGAATTACTGAGCTCTCCCACTAAAGACTGTAGTCGTCAAGAAAAAAGTCAAGTTGAAAATGGCGAAAGAGACTCCCCTGCTACTGGTAAACGCGATCTAGAGGGCAAGGGTTCGCCTACACCCGAAGAGGACAAATATAGTTCTGATGATCTCATTACTTCTGACGGCACGAGTCTCTCAAGAGAAAGCAAGTATCCGGCTGTTGGACAAGACCTTGATACTATTAAAGAAGAGCAAGAAGAGGATGGTGATTACGCTGGTGAAGCTCATTTGCAAGATTCCGAAATCGAAGACCTGCTTTCCGCGGAGAAGAAAAGGGATAGAGACGAAGGAATTAAAAACGACGATGTACCGCAAGAGCAAATGGAAATACAAAAACCAACGGAAGAGGCAACGCCCATTTCCAGTAAACCTAAAGGGCATCAAGGAGATGAAAAGAAGGAAAAAGGCAAAGGTGATGACACTGCCATAACGAATATAGAAAAAATGGTTGAAAAACCGGATGAAGAGAAAGGAACAGACGCGGACGACGGAATTTCTTCGAAAGAGGGAATTTCAGAGAAGGCAAAAGAAGTAAAGGATAAATCTGCTGATGGCAAGGAAGATAAAGATACCAAGGGCAGTCCTATCGCGGAAACAGACGTCGTAGGGGACGAGGACATGAGCACCATCCAAAACACATCCCAAGCAGAACCGTACAATGAAATGAAAAGGTACAAAGAGGATCAATCCGGTGATGAAGGGGGAGATAAAAATGCCGAACAGGAAATTCCAGTCGAAATTGATGGTGAGCCTGGAATTCCAGATGCAGATGAAAAAATTACTTCGCTTAAATTAAAAACAGATAAAGAGTCACCAGAAGCATCAGTTAGCCAGGAAGATGAAAAAAGTGATGGAGACCTCATCGAAGGCCAGTCTACAGAAGAGAAAGAAAAAAAGCCAAAAAAGAAACAAAAGGGAATTGACAACGTTATTAAAGGAGACAGTTCTGAAGAAACGGACCATCTCGACGGTATTCTAACAGGGGGTATCAACGGTCATCCCAGGGAAAAACACGAAGAAAGTTCACCAGAAGGCCACACAAGTGAAGGAGAGAAAAATGTAGAAGTTAATGAAAAACCAAAAGAAAAGAAAAAAAGGAAAAAGGGAAGAGGAAGGAAGGCAGTTAAACACAGCAAAGAAGACGAAAAAGAAGACAAAGTAGAAGAAACGGACGAGGAAGACCACATGAATGTTAAAGGAAGAGAATCTCCTATCAGCAACCAAGATCTTATTGAGGAGCTAACAGAAAATAACAAAATATTGCAAGATAAGTTCAGTCTCTTGTGTGAATTAGTGGGCAAAGGATTCGTTGATGAAATCCCAGAACTAACCGATGAAAATTACCGGAGGAGCCTAGACACACCACTAGACAGCGTACACGAGTTATATACCGAGAAAGAACAGCTCGCAAATGAGATTCAAACAATAGATTTGCAGATAAAAGAGCTTGCGGAAAGTGGCAGTGATACGATAAAAGAGCTCAACGAAGACTTGGACAAGAAGGAACTGGAACTAATGCATTCCTTAGAAGAAACTGAAAAACATCTTAAGAGGGACGAAGACAAGAAGCTTGTGGAACACCTACTGAAAGAGAAAGAGGACGTGTGCACTAAACTGGATGAAATTAATAACATTCTAAATGAGAAGAAAGGGGAAATGGAAGACTTAAGAAGTGATGATGGGCATACCGTGCCTGGTCTCATGTACAGGAAAGATGTGCTGAGAGACGATTTAACTGAAAAGACACGGGAACTGAATTCTAGTAGAAAACTGTTAGAAACAGCGAGTCAAGAATCAGAGAAAGAAAAAGAACATTTGGAAAACTCCATAAACAGTTTGAATGTTCAATTTGCCGCTTTACAGGAATTTACCAATTCTAGCCATGGCAACTCCCATTTAAGAGCAAGGCCAAAGAATAAATGGGTACCACCCGAAATCGAGCATTTGCTAAATAGCAAAGCGGACGCAGAGCATGAAATAGGAGAGCTAGATAAGAAGATCGAGAAAGCAGAAAATGAAAACAACAAGTATCACAGAGTGTTAGAGGAACAAACAGATAGGTTAAAGCCATTTTACAGGAAAAAAGCCAGACTTGAGAAGGCTTTAAAATTTGTTAATCAACCAGGTGACGGAACCGAAGACCTGCCAACTAGAACTGCTGAAGAAATAACAGATGGTGCAGTCGATGCTGGTGAAAAAACCCAAGACGAGTTACTTATGGACGGAAATAAAGTAAATGTTCCAGATCAATACATCTCTAAAAACCAGCGAAAGATGGAACTCGAATATCAAATTGAAGAATTGAATGCTGCTATCAGGACTATCGGGATTCCATTTGGCCTAGATTGCGAACTCGCCGAGGAGATCCCCACAGTTGAGAAGCTGCAAATGATTCATGAAGCAAAGACGAAAAAAGAGGAAGACTTACAAGTTCTCGAAGCTGAAATTATTAACGAACAAAATAACTTAAGAAGAGGTAGTTCCGTTGACCCTGAACAACTCATTGAAAAGTTTAAACAAAATGAAAAGTTGAAGAAAAATATTGCCAAATATTTGGATTCTTCAAAGTTAGCGGAGGGAGAGCACAACGATGTAAAACAGTTACAAAGTATACTTTCTTCGAAGTATAGCCTCGAAAAACAGGCTCATTTGCTAGATAGGCAGATATGGCAAGAACAGAGCAACTTTCTTGAGGCGTTTCAGTTCAAGAGGACTGGAAAGGTAAATGCTGACTGTGGTTCTAAAATCAAAGAGCTCTTAGACACCAAAGATAAGTTAGTGGAAGACCTAGACAATACCAATGAAGAAATACTGAAAAATATAAGTACTGGTGGCTTGATGGGAACCCACGCTCAAGGTTTAGAGGAGTGTGTAGAGAGGAAGGTGAAACTGGAAGAGGAAATTGCCAGACTACAGGATCACATTGCCGATGAACCTGGCAGAGCAGCTGAGAGCTTAGTCAATATCATTGAAAAGAAATCGGACGTCAGTAAAGATCTGAAAGGCGCAAAACGAAAAGATGCAGATGAATTAAGTAGGGTGCAAATAGAAAGTAGCGATGACTATTGCCGATACGATCCAAAAGAGGTAAACGATACCTTTACCCAGGCAATTTCAACCCGCGGAAAAGAATCTGCGCCTATAATAGGATGGGAAGAACTTCATCAAAAACAACATGAAATGGAAGTAGTCCTCAAAGAGAAAGCAGAATGCCTAATAAGAGCAAATAGAGAAGGAAAAGACCCGAGTAGTGACGAAGAGGTGGTCGAAAGCGTCATTAGAGACAAAATATCAGTGGACAAGAAACTTCAAGAGGTTCGCGAGGAAAACAATAGCAAGGAGGCAGTCTTTCCACCACAGGAAATGAAGGAAAACGAGAGCAACCAAAGGTTACAAATGGCAGAGGTGAATGATAAACGTGGAGAAATGGAAGATAATCTTTCTATGAATGAGTATCAACTAAACACTCTATTGCAGAACGCTGGGTTGATTGATAATGATGTACAGAAGTTAGAGTCTCTTGTTATTGAAAAAGTCAAACTCGAAGGAGAACTTGAAAGATCTAAGTTGCTTCAAGACCTGTTCCTCAAGAAGAAATATTTACAAGAAAAACTTTGTAATGAACAGCAACAGAGTGATGAATGCCAAAGAAACGAGGAGCTGAGGAGTGAGTTGCAAAAACTGAATGCGCTTATCGATCGACGAGAAAAGGACGTAGAGAAAATAAAGACTAAGAAAAACGTCACTAAGGAAAAAGTCAAGCACCTTGAAGATAAAAAAGAAAAGTTGAATAACAAGTTGAAACCTCTCACGAAAAGTATCATTAAATTAGCAGGAGAAGTACAGGTACGCTTAGAGGATGCTAAGAAAAAACTAAACGAACACGAGAAATGCGCTGTTGAAGAAAGGCAAGCACTTCAAAACGAATTAGAGGCCCTTCAAGACGAAATTGACAGGTGGAGCAAAGAGGAGAAGGAAGTGGACAGAGAATTGGAAAGTAGAAAGAACGAATTAAGTGAAAGGAATGGGAACCTGTTAAATCTTGAGAAGTTGCTTATTGAGAAGGAAAGTTTAAGAGAATATCTAACCGAAATTGATGCAACACTTGACAAAACCGAAATGGATACCGTCGAGCAGGCGAATGTTACAAATGCCCAAGAATTGTCAGAAAGAAAGAATGAGTTAGAGAGAAAGCTGGACGAAATCAGAAATAAAAAGTTAAAGATTGATGTTGAATTTGAAACGGAAGAAATAAGCGAGGCAATGAAAGAACTCTTCCAAACAATGGAGAATCTAGAAGTAAGGGAAAGAGAAGTTTCTGACCAGATACGTGAATCGGGAATTTTAGGCAAGCTGGCGGAAAGAAGAAAAAATGGCGAGAACAAAGTATCACGCTTCTTTATCTACGGTATCTTGGAAGCGATGGGAAGGGATGAAAAGACAGTAACCGAACTATTAAAAGAAAAAGAAGAGTTGAAAAATGCTGCCCAAAAAGAGAGAGACAACGTTAATGAAGAGATGGCATTGCTGAAAAGCAAAGTTGGCAAAGATCTCGCTAACGCATTAATACCAGCTTCTATAAAAGCACAAACAGACAAAGAAAGCGATTCCCTGTCAGCAATAGACGAGATTGAAAGTAGAGAATTAACCATCAGTGATTTACTCAAAGATTTTGAGGTGGATAATAAGCAGCTAAGGCTGATTAACGATGAGCTAAGCTCAGAGTTAGAATCTCTTAAAAATAAAATTGGAGAGGAATTAGCAAACGAACTCGGTCAGTTTCTACCAGATAAACATTCGCCATTTTCCGACGTTGTTAGTGTGGTCCAACAGGATGAAAAGACGTTGGAAGATATACTGGAAGAACAGAATGAGAAAATGCACGCAATAGAAGACTCAGTCGGGAAAGATCTCCTCAGCTCAATTTTGTGGATGAAAGACAACCCTCGCAGAGTAGATGTTGTCGATACTCCAAGGATGCTAATGACCCCTTCTATAATGGAAGAGTTTGACGAAGATCTCGAAAATGTCATTGCTGTTTATGAAAAGGAGCTTAATAGTCTGTCTTGTAAGAATGATTTACTAAGGCAAAGGCTGGGCGAGGTCCTTCTACAGGACATCCTTAGTTTAAGCAAAAACACTGAGAAGCCTGTACTAGCATATGGGACAGCAGCGGATCCTTACTCGGATGGCACGGTGAATGAACATGAACTTTGCACGCTTAATAAAGATAAAGACGTATCAGAATTTAACGCTGATCAAGGTGCTGTCAAACTACCAGAAGAGGAAGTTAATGGCATCAATGTTAAAACAACTGATCCGGAAGCAGATGGACGAGAGGAAGACGGCATTGAGACCGAAGATGGACTAAGAAGGGGAAGCACACTGAAGGACTCAAAGGATGTCAAACTAATACCAAAGCATCAACAAGAGAGACAAGGAGAAGTCAAAATGCGAGGCACCGACTTTAGGAGAGGCTCTGGGCCGCTTCCAAGTTATGTTGAAAATAAAATTCCACCCAAACTTTATTACATATGTTTGCCATACTTTACTTATCCACATGAACAGAGCGTTTCTGCTTCAGCTGACGAGGAAAATGTCCAAGGATACTTAAGAGCGCCAAAGATAATGGAAGCTAGTGGCAAAACCCTTGGGGACGTTATAGCCCAGTATGAAAACGATCTTCAGCGAATACCGAAGGACTTGAACCCAGAAAGTTACGTCAGAGATTCTGACACGAGTACGGACGTGGAGGTTGCGATTTTTTCCCCAACACGACAAAGACGAACAAGTGCTACCCCACTAAGCACAGCTGATACACCTGACGGTACAATTCCCAATGACATTGTTGAAATTGACATGAAATTGCAAGGTATTGTTGAAACCCAAGACAAGAACCTAGGAATGCTTCAACTCCTGAAAGAAAGACTTGGGGAAGATCTTGTTGATGCCCTGATAATTGAAACAGATCACCCTATAGAAGATGATGTCCAGACTAATGGCAAGTTAGATGCACTTAAAATACCTGACAATATAGAACGTGGTGAGACAACTTGTAAAGAATTGGTAGGAGAGCCACCAGACAAAGATGCTCGCACAGAAATGGGAAAACATTCGAGTGGCCACGTAAGGCCGAGAAAAATATCAAAGGCCTCAATAGACAAACCAAAGGGAGGATCGATAGAGCGGAAAGAGGAGAAGGCAAGTGTAAAGAAAATAAAGGCACCCAATATTGTTCTTGAAAATAAAACAACCTTAGGTGACGTCATAGCGTCTTACGAGAGGGTGCTAGATTCATTGCAGTCTAAACTGGGGCCATCTCTGACTAGAACATTGGTTACAATGCAAGACCCGACTGCTCTAGAACGGGAAGATGCACATAACAAGGAGAAGGCAAGGAAAACAGAGGAAAAGACCTCTGATCAATACGATGTAAAAGAACATGAGAAACAAATAGTAGATGAGCAGGCTAAAGAAATTTCTGAAAAAATAATGGAAACATTGCCAGAGTGTGGAACTGGTACGGGAGAAAGGACCACTCAAACATCACTAAGAGCCCCTGATATCATGGAAACAAGTGGAAAGACTCTTGAAACAATCATTGAGGATTACGAAAAACTACTTGAAATAGAACTTAAGCAAATGGAAAATGAAGTAACTACATTAAAGGAAAGGCTGGGAAGCGATTTGTATAAATCAATTATAAACACGAAAAACAGGAACGACGACGTAGCTGTATCTGACACAGCAGTTACTTTCCCAAACGAAAATGAAACGTACTACGTAAACCCAGTGGCACTTAAAAGTGAATCTGTAGAAGGCGAAGTTGGCGTATCATCATTCGATCTTAAAGCAAAATCATTACTAGAACAAAAGGGTATGACTGTCGAGGATATCCTGAGAAGTTATGAAAAGCAGCTGGAGGCGCTCTCAAAACTAGTTCCCAACGAAGATGGGAAAGGCGACTCCATTGCGGACCTCGTTTCCAGCTACCAAGACAAGATTGACGACTTAGAGAGCGAAAACAAAACCTTTTCAGATCGAATTTCGAAACTATCTGAACGTATAGGACCAGACCTTGTGGATAAATTAGAATGCATGGAAGATGAAGACTACGACGTTAGAGAGAATGACGGCCTAAATGCACCAATAGTTATGAGAAAAGAGGACAAAACGCTGGAGAATGTGGTAAGGAATTACGAGAAAGAGCTCAGTGTTTTGAGAAACATGCTTCCAACTGAAAGCGAAGAGATGAGTTCTATTTCTGATATTGTCAAAGAGTATGAAGACAAAATTGACGATCTAAAGAACAGAAACGGCCTACAGAAAGAACATGACAGACTTGTCGGGAAAATTGGCAATGACCTCGTAGAAGACATATTGTCACTGAAGTTGACGGAAGCCGAAACTGAGAGAGGAGGTTTAGCTCATTCAGAGTTATCAGAAAAGGAAGGCAATAATAACTTAAGAGAATCTTCTCGACTGAATGCCCCTTTTATCATGGATAAAGAAGACTCGACTCTAGAGCAAGTTTTGGAAACATACGAGAAAGCGCTTGGAATACTTCCTTACTCACGAGGTGAAGTTAGTAGGTTTGGCATTAACCAAATACCCTCCCTTGAAGAACTCGAAAGAGAGAACAAAATTTTCAGAGACGCTTTGGGCGGCGGACTAGCAGCAAACCTGATAGCGAAAGCAGGCGAAGGCGTTTCAGAAAAAGGTGAACTGAAAGTTTCGTCGAAGGAAGATGACAATGGTGAAAACAAACTCCCCTATCAAGAACAGGAAGAAAATGAAGCACCTTTTTCTAAAGACGAAAGACACCAGCTTAAGGCATTGAAAGTAATGAAAGAGGAGGACACTACAATCGAAAGAATCTTAAAGAATTACGAAAATGAGATAGCAGCGTTACATAAATTATTTCCCAGCGAGACAAATGAAGCTTCATCAGTGTCTGATTTGGTAAAGGAGTACGAGGATAGGATAGAGGAACTGGAGAATGAAAAGGCTACTCTCTTAGACTTGCTGGGCGAACTTACGAACACTATGGGTCCAGGGCTTATGGATGAACTGCAACATCTAAATACAAGTGACAACGAACGCGAACAGACACAATTGGGAGGTGAAAAGCGTTCCGATCTAGCGGCACCTAAGATGATTAGAAGTGAAGACAGAACGTTGGAACAAGTTTTGAAAATTTACGAAAATGAGCTTGCTGCTCTACGAGAATTAACGCAAAACCATGGAGATATGGCCAGTTCCCTTTCAGATATTATTAAGAGTTACGAAGACAAACTGAAAGACCGTGCCAAAGAAATCACTTTTATAGAAAACAAGTTCCTTGAGCTGCAATCAAAGATTGGTAGTGACCTCGTGGACGAACTTGATAACCTGGAAATAAGAAAAGCTGAAAAGGACAACACCTTTCTCAAAGCGAGTGAGAAAGAGGACAGAATTGGCAAGAAAGAGGCAGTAAAGCTTAGAGCTCCCGATGTCATGAATGAGAAGAAATTACCTTTGGAAGACATTCTGGCAATTTACGAGGAAGATCTTTGCAGCCTTAAAAGAGAAAACAAAATATACCAGGAAGGCCTTGGTCAGAGCATTGCTGAGGAGTTGCTAGATTTGGCAAAGAAAGAAGAAAGTTCTCGTTCTAAGGATTTTGATCAACAGAGGAGCGGAAGCGGAGCGGAACCTAACGCGACGCTGAAGGAAAGGATCAGGGACAATGCGATGAGTGCAATGAGAACTGAGGAAAAAGGTTATGAACTCATGAAGCAACCATCTAAGGAAGACCCTGCGTGCGCAGTAAAAGATGATTTACCTTCAGGTACAGGCGGATTAGAAGCTATGAATCTCTTGAGAGAGGAAGGTAACAATATTGAAAGAATACTGAGTATTTACGAAAAAGAGATACAAGCACTAAGAAGGCTGGCATCTGAAGGAATTGGGGAGAAAATGTCTGTCTCAGACCTAATCAGAGATTACGAAGATAAAATCAATGATTTGGAAATGAAGAACGCGGTGTCTAAGGAAAAGTTAAACCGTCTTCAAAATCGAGTAGGTCAGGACTTATTTTACGACCTGGAGAATATGCAGTCAAGAGAGAAACCACAAGGAGACGAAAGTTATGAGGTTGGTAAAAAGTCTGATTTAGAAGCACTAAACATGTTTATCAGTGAAGATACCAACTTGGAGAACGTCCTAAAAAATTATGAGAAGGAACTATCAGCTTTGAGGAAACTCCTTCCCATCCAAAACGATGAAGGAAGATCAATGTCAAATATCATCAAAGAATACGAAGATAAGATGGAAGAAATGAGAAGAGAAAATGAGCGTTTTAAAAGTGAACTCAAAGTACAACACAAGATCGGAGCTAATCTTCTTGGCGACATCAAGACCACCAGTTCAAGCGATGCTGACGAAGGAGAAAATGAAGGCGGACGCGACATTTTAGGAGAACTAAAAGCTCCAACAATAATGAAAGACAACGATCTGACTTTGGAAAATGTCATTGCTTCTTATGAAAAAGATATCGAGGACTTGTCAAGTGAGAACAAAACGTTGACGGACAATCTTGGCCCAGGACTTGCCGAAATGTTGCTTAGTTCGGCAGGTAAGAAAGAGCGACCGGCCCTAACTGGTTATTTTGCACCCACTGATACAACCAAAGTTGATGATAAAGTTATAACAGAAGAGGGAGAAAGCCAGAAACACGATTTTGAAGCTGAGGACAAGCAGGACGCAAGTGACATTAGAGGTCGGCCACTTGACAGAAACAATAACAATGAAATAAAATTTGGTACAGATTTGCCTCCTCGCGTTTTTAAAGCCGAATCTCTTATAAAAGATGAAGGGAAGACAATCGAGAACATCCTTCGAGACTACGAAAAGCAGCTTGAGGTCCTTACAGAAACAGATCCTGACAATAAGGAGGAATTTATTTCAAAACAAATGACAAAGTATGAGGATGTTATCGAGGGTTTGGAAAACAAAAACAATAACCTCGTTAAAAGGCTGGAAAATTTAGAGAAGACAATTGGAATAAGTCTTTTGAACGCGATGGAGAAGATAGGACTTGAAGAAACTGAAAAATTGAAAGACAATTGTGATCAAGAAATGGACGATAATTTAATGGTTCCAGAAATTATGAAAAAGGAGGGAAGAACGTTAGAGAATGTAATAAAGGCATACGAGAGGGAGCTCGATGTTCTGAGAGATTTTATTCCAAGAGAGGATGGAAATAGAGGCGCTATTACCGACGTGGTGAAGGACTACGAAGATAAAATGGATAAACTTAAAAGAGAAAATAAGCAATTGACAGTTGACCTTGGAAGCCTAGAGGAAAAAATTGGTCGTGATCTTGTTAACGATATCAAGATGCTGGAAGGAACTGTCATCGTTGAAACCGAGGCCAAAGAGCTGAAGGCAGGTGAGTCGCAAAAAAACTTAAAGGTCACTAAAATCATGGAAGTTAAAAGGTCAGCGTTAGAAGATGTGTTGCAAACGTATGAAGATGCTCTTGGAACATTCTTAAGCGACGCGTCGAACTTCATTGATGGCCCTGAAGGTATTGTGTATGACCAAAGCAGCAAAATGAATGAGCTAGAAGAAGAAAACGATATCCTTAAAAGAGCTGTTGGACCTGCTCTTTCACAAAAGCTAATAAATATCGGAAAAGGTGATGCTGAAGCTACCGAAAGCGAGAAGAAGGTCTCTGAGAATGATACTAATGTCGAATATGAACTTGACGGCATCACAGAATTAGAAACAGGCGTAAAACAGCAGTCTCCTGCGCAGAATACGGTTGCAAAAGAGGAATTCAAAGTTGAAAGTCTTGTTAGAGAAGAAGGAAGAACTATAGAGAATGTTTTAAAGAGCTATGAAGAAGAACTTGAGACTTTGAAGTCAGTAGTTCTTGACGACACAGGACAAGCAGCGGAAACGTTTTTAGACTTGATAAGAAAGTATGAAGCCGAGAAAGAGAAACTTGAAAGGACAAACAAGAGCTTGATAGAGAGGCTAGAATTCCTGGAGAAACAGATTGGCCCTGACCTGATCAACGACATAGAAAAAAAACGAAAGGTTCCTTTGAGAGACGACAGAAGCGAGATAAACGCTCTTGCCCTTATGCAAGAGGAAGAAAGAACTCTGGAAACGGTAATAAGATGCTACGAGAAGGAACTCGACGCGTTACGTAAAATGAATGTTAGCCAACAGAAGGAAGGAGATGTCTCAATATCAGATCTTATCAGTGGCTACGAAGGCAAACTAGATGATCTCAAGAACGAAAACAAGTTACTTAAATATGATTTGCATAAGATGAAAGACAAGCTTGGTAGCAACCTTGCCGAGCATATTAAGGGACTGCATGATAAGGCGGAAAGTGAAGCCGAGGTAGAAGACAAAGAAGAAAGGATGGCCTCATATGGCTCGTTAGAAGCTGCAGACAAAACAGCAGACGGGACACATGGAGAGGAACTGCACGAAGTAGTTGGAGAAAAGAAACGTTTACTGACCACTGGAAGCCAAGAGAATGACAACAGAGTGCCAGTCTCATATGACTTAAAAGCGAAAAATTTAATCAGAGATAAGGGGATGACAATTGAAAATATTTTGAAGAACTACGAACAACAAATTGAAGCCCTTTCTAAACTAACTTCACAAGAGAAAGATTCGAGCTATACCATCGCCGATCTCGTGACAAATTACGAAAAGAAGATCGAAGACTTGAAAGCATCAAACAGCGTCTTAGAAGAAAACATGGGAATCCTCGCGGAGAAAATCGGAAAAGACCTCGTGAGAGCCCTCGAAGGTGAATTGGGGAATGATGAAGAAAGAGATGGATATAGGGATTCGGGACAGCAGCAAGAAGACCGTGCAAGGTCAAGGTGGAAAGCATTTCAGAAGATCAAAGAAGATGAAAAGACCCTAGCCGACATCATAGAAAACTATGAGGATGACTTAGAAAGATTGCAAAGAGAAAAGAGTGCTATGGAGGCTTTGCTTAACAATGAAAAAGACGGACAGTCTGCCCTTGACGTAATATCCCAATATGAGGATGAAATTCATTGTCTCAAGGACACTAACAAGGAGAAAGAAAACAAATTATCGACATTAATTGCAAGAATCGGTGATAATCTTGCTACGGACATCCTCACTCTTCCTCAAGGCAAGGAACCAATCGGCAGTTGTTCTTTAGGGGCGCTTAGAGTTATGGCATTACATGGTAAGCAGCTTTTTGCCGTTTTAATTCAGTACGAAGATGACCTCATGAAACTTACAAGGGAAAACGAGACCCTTAAAGCTGTCGCGAGCAAAGACGAAGTAGACGGGAAAACAGTTACCAGTCTTGTTTTGGAATACGAAGATAAGTTTCAACAGCTAATAAAGGAGAAGAACGATTCCGAGTTCAGTCTTCGTATGATAACTGAGAAAATGGGTGAGCCTTTGGTAAATGAAATAACCAATACATGCAACGAAGATAAGCCCACATCTGTTAATGCTGTTAAGATCATGAAAGACGAGAAGAAGACCCTTGCTGACGTCATAGAGAAATATGAAAATGAACTTGCTAAACTGGGCGCAATAAGAGATCTGGCCACCGAAGATGCAGAAACGAAATCCTTTATAGAAAAGATTTCAGAGTATGAAGATGAAATTTCTCTTTTGACTAGAAAAATAAAAGAGCAGACTTTGCTGGAAAAGAAGGTAGGCATAGAGTTTTCAAAACAGCTGACAGAGTTGGCCAAATGTGGAACAGGGGAAATCAAGGATGCTGTTTCTTTGAAAGCAGTGGCAATAATGGAAAGGGAAAAAGAGTCGACAGTCGCGGATGTTTTAAAGGAATACGAAACGGATTTGGAAAATAAAAATCATGAGATATCTGTACTAAAAGAATTAATATCAAGTGATATGCTTGAGATAGCAGCATCTCAAGAAAGCGAAATACATGAGCTGAAGAAAGTAAAAGAAATTCTGGCCAATGATCTTGATGTAATCACCGACAAAGTAGGCAAGGAGCTAGTGAGAGAAATTCTCAAAAAATCGTCTGGACAACCAGAGTTCGAAAAAGACAAATTGTATCGAGATGTGGTCGAAAGAATGAGTAAGGATGGAAAACCACTTGAGAGAGTTATAGAGGAGTATGACCAAGAAATAAAACTCATGATGGGCAAAAACGAAGAGCTGATTAGGAAAGAGGGTCTGCTTACAGCAAAAATTGGTGAAAGGCTTATCGTGGAACTCCTAAGTTCAGACGTACCATATAATAGCACTGATGTGGAAATGAAACCACTATTTGCAGCATCAGAAGTGATGTTAACCGAAAAGAAAACTTTAGCTGAAGTTGTCTTGGATTATGAAGAAGAAATTGCTAAATTAAAGAGAGAAAATGGAGCTCTACGTGTATTCACTGAGGAATCCTCCCAGGACACTTCGGTCATTGACGCTATAACCAATTATGAGGAACAAATTGAGAAAATAGGGGGCGAGCAAAGAGAATTGATGAATCGATTGCACAAAATAACTCATCGGGTGGGAGTGGGGTTGACTAAAGAGTTGCTTAAACTCCCGGATGACGTATGCGAGAGTAAACCAGAAGCTACTAGCCAGTTAACAGCATTGACACTACTTAAGGAAAACAACTTCAGCTTAACCGATGTACTGCGAATGTACGAGACAAAGTTGAGAGGCGGTGATGAAGTAGATTTGGGGCCCTTGGATTCTAGAAATGTGATGACGGAGGACATAAAATTTGCGCACCTTGTCCGCCTGGAAAGTGAACCTCAAGCTATCATTTCAGGGGAAGGAAATTCTGAGATGTCTAGATACCTACAAGGAAACGAGTTTGATGGGGCCATTCCGCGCGATGGTAACGCTTTAAATAAAGCTTTGTTGCAAGAACACGACCAAATGAAAATGCTTGAAAAAATAAACGCTGCACTCTCTGAAAAATATGAACAGTTGTCAAGGAAAGTTGGCAAGGAATTGTCGCAGGCGCTAATGAGATCACCAGAGGATAAAGAACAGGAAGGGGAAGCAGCGATTACAACAGCTGAAGACCTCGACGCTTTCGATGACATAAATAAGGAGAGGGCAACAATAGCTGAGGTTTTAGAAAGCTACGAGAGAAGATTGAAAGGACCATCGCAAAGTGACATTGGCACACTTGGTAATGGTCAAGTCAAAGAAGAAGAGATAAAGCCTGCTCGGTTGGTGCGTGCTAATGAAATTGTGGAGGAAATCTGTGATATCAATGACACAGAGATTGTTAGTCATTACAAGGCTCTGAATGAGGAAGACGCTCCCGAAGTTCCGGGGTTCTGGGATATGGATATTACGTTTTTAGTCGAAGTCGTTGAACACCCAGGTGAATCAGTGCTTCCTATCCCAGATAAGGAAGTGATCCACGAGGAAGTGACGAAAGTAGAGTTACCGCAACATGAAAGAAACCTTAGTTGTGAAAATCTAGAAGAACTCTTTGATAGTGAATTCCCAGTCGAAAACAAAAGGGGTACAAAACTGACAGAAACTAAAGCAGTGGAAGGCGAAACAATGGGTACTTTAGAGAGAAGAATCATGGAGCTTGAACAGGAATTAGAAACACAGAAACTGTTAAAGGAGAAATATGAAAAAGATGTCCATGATCTGCTCAAAGACATCGTTGACCTCAAAATGCAGCAGGTGGACGGCGATTCGAAAAACCTGGAAGAGACGCGGAGAAAGATACAAGAAGAGGTCGATCTGAAGCAGGATAACAAGCGGCTGCATGAAGAATTGGAAGATGAAAAGCAGAGGCGATTGTCCATGGAAAAAACCAAAGGCGATTTGTCAGAAAAGTTAGACAGCCTGATCAAAGAAAATGAGTTGCTTCGCAAAAAACAGAGCGATGCTCAGAATGTGTCTGAAAATGAACGCGCTGAAGAAATCTGTCACATTGGTGAGACAGAAATGGCTAGCGATTACAATATTTCCCAAATTGATTTAGATCAAAACAACGAGAATGAAACTGACAGCCGTGCGTTTACAGAAGAGGAAGTAATAAAAGTAGGGTTGCCAGAGTATATGGATACCTTAAATCCTGACTTTGTGAAAAGCCTTTTAGGAAACGACTTTCAATTGGATGGGTCAGGGAATGTCTGTGAAATATCAGACTCGAAAACGACAGAAAGTAAAGGCGAGTTTAGGGTAGGAGAAAAACTAGAGACCTTTGAGAAAAAGATAAAAGAGCTTGAACAGGAACTACGAAACGAAAAACGTTTGAAAGAGAAATATGAAAAGGATATTCAGGATCTGCTGCAAGACATTGTCGATCTAAAAATGAAACAACCGGAAAACGAGGAAGAAAGCCCTGCTGAGACGCGAACCAAGATACAGGAAGATGTCGACCTACGGCTGAATAATAAGCGGCTGCAAGAAGATTTAGCTAAAGAAAGAAAAAGAAGACTATCCATCGAAGAAAGCAAACGGGATTTGCTAGACGAGGTGGACACTTTAATGAGAGAAAGGGAGGTATTTCTTCAACAACAGAATGAGACAAAAATGGACGGGAAACTAGTGGAGGAAATGATCAGTTTAAGAAAGAAAATTGGAGAGCTGGTTACAAAGAACAAAAATTTAAACAAAGAAGTCGAAGAACTCAGAGAGTCAATAAAGGAAATGGAAGTATGCCACGAAGAGGAGAAAAGTCGGCTGCTGATGAATTTCGAGACAGAAAAGTCCGCCATGATGGACGAGCTAGTGACGTCAAAAAGCGAGCTTGAAAACCAGTTACAAGAGTTACTTGCAATGAATGACGATCTTAAAAGAACCATCAAAAGTCTTCTAGAGGAGCTCAAGGAATCAAATGAAAAGCTAGTAACAGAAGGAGAGAAACATGACAAAACGTTATGCGAAGAGATCAAACAGCACCATGCAGAGCAAGTCGGAGCAGCATCGCTGGAAGAAGTAGAAGAAAAGGATACAAATGCAGCCCACGAAAGAATGAAAAATGAAAACTTGAAAGAACACCTCGATGAGCCGGAAAATGCCCTGCAACAAACGTTAAATAGGTACCAAGGAGAAATTACGTCTTTGGAGACAGAAAGAGCCAAGAGCGACGATGAATTACGACAAGAAATCGAGATTTTGAGAAACAAGCTTGAACGGTCGAAAGCCTCAGCCGAGCAGCAAAGAAAAGATTTTGAAAACGTTCTCGCAAAAGAAAAAGAACGCATAAAGGATGACTTAGAATTAGAACTAGCACGGGAGAAGAGGAAGCTGAAACTTGACTTTGAAGATAGAGAAGACACTTATGGCAGAGAAATAAAAAAGCATTCAACAGATCTCCAAGAGCAAGAAAAGAAGTGGAATAAAGAAAGAGAGGAAATGCAAGAACTCTTCCGCATTGAAAAAGAGAAATTACAGAAAGCTTTTGACGAAGAGCTTAGAAGTAAAATGGCCCAGAAAGAAGAACAAAACAGACGATCAAACGAGCAGATGAACCGCGAGTTTGAGAAAGAAAAAATGGAGATCAAGGCAACCATCGAGAAAAAGATTTACGAGCAGCTAATTGACAAAAATATTGCAGCGGAAACAGACTTCCGTGATGTCCTTTCCAAAATCCTACAAGAACATTCTAAAGAAATCGAGGGGGTAGAGGACGATATACGAAAAGCCGAGGAAAGGTTTCACAAAGACAGAAACAGGTTAATTGAGCAAACTGATAAGGAGAAAGAGGCTTTAAAGAAGACCCATGAAGAAGAAAAGAAAGCCCTGGAATCAGCTGTTCAAAATCTGTTGAAAGAGGTCGTAAAACTGAAGCATCAAAGAAAAGAAATGCGGATGATTCACAAGAAGGAGAAAGAGAGCCTTGAGGAAATTTATGAGCGAGATCGAGTAAAGCTTAAAGAAGACTGGGATAGGTATAAGGAGGATTTACTAAGGAAAGTACAAGGTGAATTTGACTGCAAATTAGAAAATGAGACCACAAAACTTGAAACTAGGTTAGAAGATATGAAACGAGAGATGCAAAAGTCAGCACAGAGAGCACAAGAGCTGGAGGGTATTTTGAGGGGAATACCTCGTGAAAATGAGCAACGAGTATCAGACGGAGATTATAGTCAAGGAATAGTGGTGAAAGAAAGTGAAGAACAGTTGAAAGAAATAAAGTCAGCGAAGAAAAAACTTGAAGAGGAATACGAGAAGAAGCTCAAGGCAGAGAAACGAAGGTTTGAAGATACACTGCAAGCTCTCCGGCGTGAGATTGGAAGCTTGCAAGAAAAGAGAAGACTTATCCAAGACAAGCTTTACAACCAAGATCCATCTGTTGTGGACAGACATGTCATGGAAAAAAGTCTGGCGAATTTCAAAATGGAGATGCTTTCTAAAATGGAGGAAGAAGTATCACAAAAGATAGCGCGGGAGAAAAAACCGCTCGAGGAAACAATAAGAGAGCTTCAAGATGAGAATGAAGAACTTAAAAGGCAAAGATGGGAGCTAAGAAACCAGCTTAGGAGGGAGCGATCTAAGTTAGAGGAACAGTTCGAACAGGAGAGAGAAACAATGGAAAGGCAATTCTTAAAAGAAAAAGAGGAATTAAAGAACAAGTTGGAGGTTAGGATACAAAGAGAAATGACAAAGAGAACATTGGAAGAGAAAGTCACAAGAGCCCTCAGTCCAAGTTCGAACGTATGTTTCATGAAGTTGATTGAAAACTGTAAGGCTCCCATGCATTGCTAACCGTGTCACAAACATATCATAGCTCACTTTATATATCCGCTTTCAACGTGTTGGTATCACTTAAATGTCTTGTCTCAAAGTTTGAATACTTTCTTCCCTCAGTTTAGATGTGAGTGTCTTTGGCCAGCCTCGACTATGCTTGACTACATACGGGTGGAGGCTAATGTAATATGTTTTGTGAATTACGGAGTAAAGTTCTGAACCTGAAGAAATCGATGGAACACACTCTGCAAATTAAATGTTTTTCCATTTCTATAATAGGAGTCCCCATACAGTTCACAAGAATCACCTAGAAGACTGAGATCAGAAAACATGACCTTAAGAGACGATAAACATCGTCTAGAGTTAGAAGTGAGGCAACTTACCAGCAAACTTGAGAGTCTTGAATCAAGCTTCCAAGAAATGATGTCTTCTGAGAAGGAAAAGGTATGTTAAAATTAAAGACGCCAGTAAGAATTGGAAATTAAATCAGTTAAAAAACATTTCTATCACGTAACAAAAAATGATCAAATTAAAAAAAGTTATCGCACAAGTGAAGTTTCATTTTCTCATATTCCTCAAAATGAGTATTCTTGCATTGCGGTTGGATTTATGAATGACACCGAAATTCAAAACGGAAACTCTAAACGTTTGAGACTTTATATTCGTTGTTTTCTGACAACAGAGACCCGAGCAGGTACAGCTGACGTCGCATGAGAGTTAAACACAGCTTTCGTTCGATTTGGAAGTAGATTTACGTTCTATAAATTTGTTCGTCTTTTAGGTTGAAAAAATGAGGAGGATTCAAGCAAAAATGCCCAAGAAGGTAACTACGATGTAAGAAATCCCGATAATTTAACATGACATGAGACCAAACGACGTTATCCCGCATGACTGATCAAAAAGACCTTTCAGTAACAGACTAAATCATAATTCGAGGATTTTGACTCTATACAAGGATGGTTCATTAATTTTCCCAATGGCTTCAGCGGTTTTAGTGACAAAGTGTAGCTAGAATCGTTCAATGACACACGAGTAGAACTATTCACCTGTCATCCTTGTTTAACCAGGGTCGCTCGAAAGATAGCTGGCGCAGGATATTTACTTTGGTTATAACCAGAGTTAAGCCAAATTTAAACTAAAATTTCTTTGTTCAAAAAGTTTTACTGGTGGTTATAAAGTAATGAAGGAGTTTGACGCAGAGAACTAATTCGGCTCATTAAGAATGAAATGCCATATCTTGACAGTTGTCTGACATTTTTATCCTTAAGGGTTCACTAACCGCCAATTTAAGCAACTGAGCTCAGATACATTCAGATACACCAGTGGAATTGCAGTATGTGCCTGCCTATCCTTTTGATAAAATTTCATCAGTGAGTAGCACTTCCTGGCAATAAACATCCGAAGGATGTCAATAGTGGCACTTAATCGATAGCTGACCTGAAACCTTAAACAAGCGCATGCGATGGAACCCAATCACTTATAAAAGAAAACGTTTCTCCTAAAACCTCAGACAAAATAGTTGTAACCCTTGGTTGATTTTCCCGACTCCACCATTACAAATTTGCACATCGCTTGTACTTTGCGAAAGCGCGCCCTAAAAGGCAGGGACGAGAGGTCTGCACTGTTTATGTTATCTAAGAAAATCAGAAGTTTCCAAAGGATGTTTGACCGAGGCTGTAGAACTTAGAGAAACTGAATTTTGTTCTGACCGCATGGGCAACCTGTGGTTAACAACCTTCATTTTTATCCACAGGTCACCTTCTCAGAAGAAGTAGAGACCAGAAGCATGGAACATCCCACAGGTGACCAGAACGAGACTATACTTCAGGAATTAAGAGAAAGGGACAGTCAAGTTAGAGAACTCTTGGAGGCTAAATACTTTTATGAGGTTCTCTCTGAACTCTGTGAGGAGGCTGGGCTCTTTGAACTTGATCAAAACGAAATTATCTAGACTTAGCTAATGCCAGGAATCAAGAGTCATTTTTCTGCCCATAGCAACCTATAATTATGTGTATACTTTTTGGTCCGTTTTGTCATACGTATGTTCATTTTGATACAACAATAAGGTTAAAACAACAACATCAACAACAACACCAAAACACAAACAAACTGAACTACACTGTGGGAATAGAAAATCCCCAAAACACAAGCAAAAACAAGCAAAAAGAATACAGAAAGAAGGCAAATACAGTTGTAAGTGCACAGCAGCGGGAGTAAATGGGCGACAATAAGGTCATTGAGTTGTATGAACATGTCGATTTAATTTCATTTAATTAGCGCAAAAGATGTAATTCGCAGAACGGATAAACTAATTAAGTTGAGTAAAAACAATTGCAAATCGTTTGCACAAACATTTGGCTTTTCCCCCTGTAACAAACTGCAAACAAACTACTTTATATTTTGCGGACATTTATTAAATACGTTATGTTCTATGTACACGTACACATGTATAAATAATTACGTATGATCGCAATGCAGGCATAGTTTTGGGCGGGCGAGAGCTGATTTTTATTGTAGACGCCGCCCTTTTTGTAAGACACCGCTTCCTTTGACTTTAAAAGAGCAAGTTAGGGAATGGTTAAAATAACAACACTTAGGGTAGGCGTTAGTTGCAACTCCTCATATCTTGGGGGTATTTAACATGGAGCGCGCAGAAGCCCCGAAGAAAACAACTTCAATACAGGCTTGGTTTCACCGCAACCTTGACGACGCGCCAAATAGGATTTTTAAATTGCCTAATGGACATTGTTAAGTTAATATACTCAAACCTTAAGGGGGCTTTGAATGGCAATGCATGAATTGGATACGAAAATGGAAGTTTACGTTTTTTCATCCAAATAAAGGCCTTTTTATGTTTTAATTATAAACGTATCTGTCAAGAAAATGGAAATTACCAGTTTCCCAGTTACTTGAGCCTTTTTGATACCAGTATACCAGTAGCTTCAACAGATTTAAAGTGGTACTGCTGACAAAGAGGCTTAAACTATGAAACTGACGGGATAAAATTTAAAAGAAAGTGATAAAAACACTGTAAACACATTCTAATTAAAAAAATGCACATGACACAATAAGAAGCAAATATTAATATGCTTAGGTACGATGTGCTCACACATGCAAAAATATTCCGACCGTTTTGTAGTTTAGAAAAGATTTTTGTAAATTACGAGTTAATACAATTTGAAATAAAGAAAAAAGGTGTCAAAGTAAACCATTAAAAACTCTAAATATGCCTTAATGATCACCACACTTTAAGTCCAGGAATTACGGTATGGCTTAATTCTGCGCACAATTTCATGTGTCTTGGAGTGGAGTAAAGTGGACAAAAAAGGGAAAGAAAAGGGAAAATCACATAAAATCACAAGAGACACAACCATCTCTTGCCTTGCAGAGACATTTTCAATCCTAACAGCACAAATTTATTGATCTTACTCTCCTTATAACAGAAAACAAGTGGCATTTTTGAACATGGCAACAGCACTAAACAGGTCAACTATTGAGTTAAGTTAACCCTTTTTTCGTTGTATATCGCTTGAAGTTTCTTCTTCTCTACCTCTTCAGACTAACTTGTTGAGACACGTCACAAAAATACCTATTTGTCATCTTGACAAAAATGCACACAACTAATTGTTCTAACTGTCGTTATAAGGGAAAAAGAGTGGCATTCATTAACACGGCGACCGCAATAAATAGGCAATCTAAGACCTATAGTTTTGGTAAGGTTTACGCTTTTCCGTTGAGTATCTATTGAAGTTTCGTCTTGTACAACTCTTCCGACTACTTCGTCGGGCAGAACTTGTTAATACACATCACAAAAAGGCTATTGACAAAAACGCACACTGCCACCACGTTGGCATTTAGACCGAAACAACAATGACTAGGGGTTGGGGAGGTGGGGAGCTTACTTAGCTCTGTTCAGAGATGATAACATTAAGTTATAAATTTGAAAATGTATGGAATTAACTCAAACGTTTTGTCCGAGGTTTAGTTTTCCACTCTCGCTACAGTTCATGAGTTCACCCAGTCCTTTTAAAATATTTTCGACCCAAAGCTTGTTCTACGGTCAATCCAATAAGTAAATAAATGATTCCGTTCCGGCAACCCGCTGTTACCAACTGTTGCTTTAAAGGACACTCAATTTTTGTCCGCAATAACAGGATCTGAATTTAATCTACAAGGGTTTATTCTAGAAGCAATTTAAGAGCTGTTCTTAGCTGCCACAGGTGACGATAAGATTAAATTCAAGGAGCTCACTACGATCTCGTTCTAAGACGTAAACACTTAAAATGCAAGAAGTCTATAATTTATGGCCTGCAGCTTTGAAAACTTCAGGTGATAAGCAATTATCCTTTATTTCAAATCAAGTATTGGCAAGTAATATCAAAACATTAACTGGTGCTACTATGAAACTTTAGACTATATAAGACGAAATAAGGTCCCGTCATAGAAATAGCAGTCGTTCAACAATCCACGGAAAGATACTTGGTACAAAATGAAGTTGCTTCCGCACTCTTAAGTGTTCCTAACCGCATTTTATATTAAAATCGTCCATGGCATGAAAGTTCGGCGAAATTCTACCTGCTGTCGATTATTCTCATTCAATGAGCAGCGAAATTTGGACGCTTTTGTATTATTAATTTATAAATAACAGATACCATATATTAAGAACAAATAAGACGAGTGTACAAGTAACTGCTTCCTTTTTGCGTTTCAATAGAAAATCAAAAGCAATAGTTACACTTTGTGCTGAAGTTAAATCCTCCCTTGACAGTACGTTTTTTCATAACTGTACAGCTAGGACTAACAGTTATTTAAATTAAAGTAAAGGTATTCCTGGTATTACATAGAGTTGTAAATTTTGACGATCAAAATGTTCTCCTCCTATCCAGAACCTGCAATGTGGGATTAAAATATTAAAACAAATTACCCTCGAACGCTTGTCTTTAGCATAAAAATATAAAACTTATGGAATGGATAACAGGTTAATGTCTTGTGGGATACGCTTGCTGGCATAGCAACGTATAAACATTTTTGCTGGTGGCTGGTGACTCGCCGCAAAAACTGTAAATCTATTTTGTTTTATAGAGGCTTTAAAATGAGGAATGAGTGCTAAGAGCAGATCTAAATTTCATGTACAATCTGCAGTGAGAAGGAAGAGGGAACGGTGAGATTAAGCTCGAAACTAGCTTAAAAGTTTCCTCACAATCAAATCTAAATCTAAATCTCCCCCGATGCGAATCTTTGTGTGCGGTTTAAGTGTTTTCAAACAATAGACATAATGATAGATATAAACTTGAAGGTTAATTAACAGAAGAACGCTACTCCTGAAAGGAACTTTCTGGGGAAGTCAAGTTGGATGGACAAATTTCGATAAGAGGAAAATATACCGCTAAAATGACCTCCCAGGAGATTTCATTTTCAGAGGGGGGACAAATTCTGGAGGGTCAGATTGAAATTCAAAATGAAGGATACATTCAGATGACATCTGACGCCATGGCCGCCAATATGGACCCTCAAATACAATACATCGGCGAGCAACAAATGGGCTCCGTAGAAATGAATGGACAGGAAATGCTGATAATGCAAACCGAGGTAAATGGTGAAGAACAGCTAAATACACAAGGCGGAACCTACATGCAGATGACTTCACAAGGAATAGTTATGAACGAGGAGACATGTCAGATGCAATCACAAGATCTTTCTCAACAATTCATGTTCGACGGGCAAATAGGGCAAGGGCAGCAACTGATCATCGGAGAAAATTCTGGTCAAACAGTCGAAGGAGGGTTTGAGATGCAGGGCACATCAATGGAGGGAGATGGAATGATAATGCAAGGAGTGGCCCAAATACAGATGCAGCAAATGTCTTTGCAAGGCGAAGGGATAACCTATCTCGAGGGAGGTGTGGTTGAAGGTGAACAGTTTCAGCTAAGTGAAATGTCGGCAGGTGAGATGTCACTCGACATGAATGGACAGCAAATGCAGGCACAAGAAATGTCTGTGCAAGGCGAGGGAGTGTTATATTTGGAAGGGGGTGTAATCGAGGGTGAACAACTTCAGGGGACTGAGATGTCAATGGGAGAACAAGTACAAATGGAGATGCAAAATCAAGAGATCGGCTTTGCCGAGGGTGGAGAATTTCAGACGAGCGAAATTTCTATTCAAGAAAATGCAATTGTGGAAGGAGGCGGAATTCAAGAAGAGCAGTTTCAGATGAGTAACATGTCCATGACACAGATGCCACTTGAATTGAATGGGCAAGAAATACAGATGCAAGAAATGTCTTTGGAGACTCAAAGTCAAGAGATTGCCATAGGCGAAGGAGCAGAATTCCAGACTAGCGAAATTTCAGTTCAGGAAAGCAGATTTGTGGAGGGAGAAGAAATTCAGGAGCAACAGTTTCAGATGAACGAGACAGCGATATCTGAAATGCCTCTTGAGATGACGGTGGAAGGCATGCAGATTCAAGAAATGCCATTAGAGATGCCAAGTCAAGAGATTGGCACTGTTGAAGGGGGAAAACTTTTGACAAGTGAAATCTCAGTTCAAGAAGTTGGATTTATGGGAGGCGAAATTCAGGAGCAACAGTTTCAGATGAATGAGATTTCGATGTCTGAAATGCCTCTTGAGCAAGGTATACAGATGCAAGAAATGAGGCTGCACGAAATTCCACTGGAAATGCAAAGTCAAGAGGTTGGCATTGTTGAAGGAGGAGCACTCCAAACCAGTGAAATGTCAGTCCAGGAAGTTGGATTTATAGAAGGTGGCGAAATTCAGGTGGAACAGCCTCAGATGAGTGAGACTTCGATGACAGAAATGCCAATCGAAATGAATGCGCAAGAAATGCAGATGCAAGAAATGCCATTGGAGATGCAGAGTCAAGAAATTGCCATAGTTGAAGGGGCAGAATTTCAGAACGGTGAAATTTCAGTTCAAGAACTCGGATTTGTGGAAGGAGGCGAAATTCAGGAGAAACAGTTGCAGATGAGCGAGACGTCGATTTCTGAAATCCCTCTTGAAATGAATGTGCAAGGCGTACAGATACAAGAAATGACGACGCAAGAAATACCATTCGGAATGCAACTTCAAGAGATTTGTACTGTTGAAGGAGGAGAACTCCCTAGTGAGGTCTCAGTTCAGGAAGTTGGATTTGTGGAAGGAGGCGAAATTCAGGAGCAGCAGTTTCAGATCAGTGAAACTTCGATGTATCAAATGCCACTTGAAATGAATGGGCGAGGGATACAGATGAAAGAACTGACAATACAAGAAATGCCATTAGAGATGCAGAGTCAAGAGATTTCCATAGTCGAAGGCGCAGATTTCCAGTCCGGTGAAATTTCAGTTCAAGAAGTTGGATTTGTAGAAGGAGGCGAAATTCAGGAGCAGCAGTTTCAGATCAGTCAAAATTCAATGTCGCAAATGCCACTTGAAATGAAAGAGCAAGGAGTACACATGCAAGAATTGGGGATGCAAGAGATGCCATTAGAAATGAAGAGTCAAGAGATTGCCATAGCTGAGGGAGCAGAATTTCAGAACGGTGAAATTTCAGTTCAAGAAGTTGGATTTGTCGAAGGAGCCGAAATTCACGAGCAACAGTTGCAGATGAGTGAGACTTTGATGTCTGAAATGCCTCCTAAAATGACTGGGCAAGTTATGCAGATACAAGAAATGCCATTAGAGATGCAAAGTCAAGAGATTGCAATTACTGAAGTAGGAGAAATTCAGGAGCAACAAGAAATGCCATTGGAGGTAGAAAGCCAGGAGATTCGTATGTCTGAGGGCGATACGGGACAAACAGATGGGCTTGAAATAGTGGAAATAACATACCAAGAAATACCATTTGATAGCAAGGAAACACAGATGCAAGAAATCTCTATACAGAAAACAACGGAAGAATTGCCTATCCAAGATACCTCGATACAACAGACGGGAGTGCAAGAGATATCAGTACATGAGATGTGTGCGCAAAAAATTCCTGCGCACGACATGACAATCCAGGAAATGGCAATGCAGGAAACGCCATTAAAAACGGATGAGACAAACATCTTAAAAGAAGAAAAGATGCATGAAATAGATACCGACACGCCATCGCATGAACTGCAATCTAAGGAAAAGAGTGGTGATCTAGCCGAAAAAATAGGGGTGGAGCCATTCCAGGCAGCCGAAACGGACATAAAAGAGATGCCATTAGAAGAAAAAACTCAAAACATCACCTCCCCTAAGGAACAATCCTCCGTAGATGAAAAGCCTCTTCAAGAAGTGCCATTGGACCTAAATCAGAAGCATATGCAGGAGATGTCACCTCAAGAAATGCTGTTAGAATCACAACATGAAGCATTACACATTTCATCCGCAGGGATGACAGCTCAAGAAATACCATTAGGGAATATTTCTCAGGAGCTGCCGATAAGCAAAAAGGCAAGTCAAGGGAGCGAAGCAAATAACGGGAAAGCCAGGAAAAAAGTAGAAACTGCAAATAAAACAAGTGAAACAATACCCTTAGAAGACCGCAAAGAGGACGAGTTGCAAGAACAATTGTCTTCCAATGAGACCAAAAACGGAATTTTAACACATGGGATTGTTTGCGACCATGACCTATTGATAGATCAATTTCTGGAGAGGATAAGTCGACTTGAAAAAGATAAAGAATACCTACAGGAGCGCTATGAGGAGCTACGGCAAGAGAAAGAAACGACCTTTACTTCACACGAAGACCAGCTAACAACACGAGATGAACATCACCACTGTTGCAATATCGTTAAAGACTATAGTAGTTTGATAAATTACATAACAAGTCCACGTGAAGGTATGTCTCAAGACCGCACTGACGGACGTTGCTACGTTCATAATCACAGTTGTCTTACTCAAGGCGAAAGGCAGCATTTTGAGCATTTGGATCAAACGACTGCTGATTATGAGTACTATAAGTCTAAATGCGAGCAAATAAAACGCGAGAGGGATCGCTTACAAAGGGCCTACGAGACTGAGAAGAGGCAAAAGGAAGACATTGAGAGGGAATATCAGAATGAAAACGACGAGAAGACTTACCTGGAGGAAAGATACCAAGAAATGCTTGACAACATACAAAGGTTTGATGAAACCATACGTTGTTTACGAAGGGATAATGAGCGTTTGCAGAAGAATTTAAATGACTGGGCAAACACAAGAATTATGACGCAGACATCAGATATAGACAGAGTGGCGCTAGAGCAAAAGGGTGGCGGTGCAGGAATAGCTGAATACAAGAGAAGCATAGAGACACTGGAAAAGGAGAACAACGAGTTTAGGACAATACTTGAAGTTTTGAACAAAAAGAACGAGAACCAGCAAACTCTAAAGAACATTGAATTTGGTTTGGCAAGAGAAAACGAGTTCATTCAGCTGAAGAAAGATAGAGCAAGATTGGAGAGTAGCCTAAAAGACTTGAAACGAACGAACAAACATCAACAAGAGAGGATAGAAGAGATAAGAAAGGACTCTTCCGTAGAGATTACGCGCCTGAAAGAAAACTATCGTAAGCTGGAAAGATCTTTGAAAGAGAACGTGCGACTCTTGGAAGAGAAGGATGACGAGATAACTAGTATCAAGAAACGAAATTCTGAGGAGATGCAAGGGATGCAAATAAAACTTCATACGGAATTTTCTGCTTCACTTCTGTCAAAGAATAAAATCAAAGATTTGCAGTCTAAGATAGAGCGACTTGAGGAAGACAGAAAAAGACTAAGGGAAGATTTGAGGGCCTCATCTGTTAACACAAAACATCGATTAGCTGAGGTTGATAAGGAATACCAAGATATTGAATTTATTCATCAAAGATACGAAGAAGAGAGGCAAAGTAAGATTAGGCTGGCGAGTGATATGAAATGTTTACTTGGCGATATTATGGAACTTAAGGAGAGGAACCAAAGACTACAAGAGGATTTCAATCGTGAAAGGATGGAAATCAAGGGAATGCTTGAGAAACAAGCTACCGAGATTACAGAAGAGTATCTGGCGCAAATAAACAAGCTCCAGAGATCACTTATGGAGGAAACGAAACGAAGAAAGGAAACTGAAGCTGGTAGCTATGGTTTGATCAGCAACCAAGGTAATGGCGCGCACCTTATCGGCGGTCAGAGAGAATTTAATGGAACAGCAAGCTGGGGTAACACTGAATTGCAGATACAGTTGAACAACGAGATTCGACAAAGAGAAACCCTTAAAATAGAAAATAAGAAACTATTATATAAGATAAACGACATTTTATACAGTGGAGGACAAGGAGGAGGAGAAAGAGAAAATCGCCATAACGAAGACACCCTATATAGTGGTAAGAACAAGCAGCCCCACTTGACTCAAAATAACACAACAAATACTTCACGCGAAAGGCAGGTTAATGATAATAGGCAAAGGGAATTACAAAGTGAAATAGAGGAACTTCAGGAAAAGATAGATGACCTTAAGAAAGAAGTCAAAAGAAACAAAGATCTGAAAAGGAAAAACGAAGAACTCGAGGAAGAGGTTACGCACTTGAGTCGCAAACGTGACGAGCTTTTGGCCGCTCAACGAAATCTAACTCGAGAGGTCGATCATCTGTCTCGTACACTGGACGAAGTGGAGAGGCGCAACCGAAAGCTTTCAGATGAAACTGAACGATTTATGAAAAAAATACAAGACATTGAGGAGTCCTTCAGACAGGAAAAGATGAGGCTGACAAGAAGTTTCGAAAGCGAAAAATCACAAGCTGTGGAAGAAGTGATGAAATTGAAGGAAGCATGTGAAACGAAACTTCGGGTTGAAATAGACACTACAAGAAGACTCGAAGAGAAAATCCTGCAACTGGAGGAAAAAATGCCGCCAAACGTTTATGTGCCAACTGGAAGTTTAGAGACAAGTTCACTTCTTAATGACACCTATTCGTATACCCTTTCAGGAAATGAGAGAAGTCAGTCAGTTAACACCTACAGTGACAACTTAAAACGAGAGGTGAAAAGGCTAGAGGCTATCGTCAGAGATGTAAACAACAAGCACGCAGACGACCTCAGAAATCTCGAAATACAAAAGCAACGAATGTCAGAAGAATTTAAAAGAGAAAAACAATCGCTGGAGAATTTCTTTCAAAAAGAAAAAGAAGGTTTGAAAAGGCGACTTCGAGATTCCGAGAGCAAAGTTAATGGGGACGGAGTAATAACCTATCAAGACCTAGGAGAGGGAGGAAGACGATCGCTAATAGGTCGAGGTCTGGAAGCTGTTGATGGTGGGCTTGTGAATTATCGGGAGAAAGCGACAGAAGGGGATTCCGAGCACACGATCCAAGAGATGCGAAGAAAATATAACGATGAGAAGAATGCCATATTGAACCGAGCCTCTAAGGAAAAGTCAGAATTAGAGGATGAAGTTAGGGAAGTTAAAGAAAAGCTAACCCGTTATCGTCGACAAATGGACGACGAGTTGGATGACTTGAAAAGGAAGCACAGAAAAGAGGTAGATTATCTAAATGAAAAGCTCTCTAAAGAACGAGCAGAGTACGACGAAAAACTGCGCACTAACAGAAACATTCCAAACACCAAGACTGGACATTTGACAGGAAACAGTCAATATAGCTTGGAAGAACAGAAGGATGTAAGAGGAGAGAAAAGTTTAAAAGAGGAATTGGAAAAGCAAGTATCGGTAATTACTTCAAAGTTCCAGAAAGAAAAAAGCAGCCTGCAAAATGATAAGCGGAATTTAATGGAGACAATCCACGCTCTCACAAGGGAGGTGAATGATCTTAAATGTTATAAAAGAGAATCCAAAAATTGCTACAAGCAAGAAATAGAAAAGCTTTCACGAATTCACGAAGTTGAAAAAATAACTATTCTTCAACGAGCTTCAAGAGATAAAGAAGAGGAAACTTCGCGAATTAAAATGGATTTCGAAGAAAGGTTGTCTTTAGAAGGGAAAAAGTTGCAGTCAATTATCGATGACTTAAGACGCAAGGTATCAGTAACAGAGAGAAAGGTGAAAGATATGGAGGTGCAGCAAAAGAATGAGAAAGTAAGGTGGGACGAAGAGAAAGCTGCTACCGAAAGAATACTGAACCAAAGCCGGGAAGAGCTGAAGATTACTCTCGAACGTGAATATAGAAAAATGTTAAACGGAGAAAAGCAAAAATTTGAGGAAACGGTCAAGGCGTTAACGACGCAAATCTCTTTCTTACAAAATCAAAGGAAAGAAATTCAAAAAACGTTGGTGAATAACGAGTTCTCAGGAAATTGTAAGTTAAATAGTGAGCAGCTCGCAAGGAGTAGAATGGTTATTGAGATGGAGCAAGAATATTTGGAGAGATCGGAACGCGAGAGGCGACCAATGGAGGACAAGATTAAGGGGCTTCAGCGAGAAGTCAGTAAACTTCAAAGGGAAAAGACGGAACTAAAAGCAACACTTGAAAACGAGAAACAAGAACTCGAAGAGGATTTGGAAAGAATGCAGAGCGACATGAGACGAAAACTAAGCAAAGCGAGAGAGGAAATGGAAAGAAAAACTGATGCATTCAGCAAGAACTTAGTGGCAACCAAAGAAAAGGATGCATTGGTGAGTAAGATGGTATCGCTAAACACATTCATTCCCTACCACATTTAATTATACACGATAATGACAAACCTTTTTTAACAATAGCGCCAGGAGGGTGGATATACTTTTCGATGGTTTTTATTACAAGTGGCCTAATACTCTATAGATCTATCCCGAATTTTACGTGGTTCTGCACTGCTCCTCTTTCTGTTTATTGCAATCAGTAAGGCCCGTTTATTATCTGAATGAAAAAACACACAAACAAACAAGAAAAAAAAATTAAGGGAAAAATGTGTAACGATGTGTCACTTGTTAGCTTATTGGTAGAGCTCTCCACCGGTATCGCAGAGGTCTGAAGGGTTCGAATCCCGTACAAGCCTGAAGTTTTTCAGGCTTTCTTTTCGCATCTGCAAAAGTTGCGTATATAACTGCGATGATCATCCTTCATTTAATTCGTCACTCCGCAGTTCACATAATTATATGATTTTCATAATTTCATGACTTCAAAGTGCCACTTTGTTACAAACTCTTGGAATTCGATAATGATTCCGAAATAGTTATTTATACATGTCAAAAGACTTCTAGTTCCATACCCAGAATAAGCAGTGGTCTATCTGCTGTTCCTTAGAGGTACAGCAGATTAAAAATATATATATATATTGGTAGTGGCCTACAACCAGCTAACAGTTGCCTCTATTAATTTCTTCAATTAAACTCCCCTTTTTTTGCATTTCCTGACAGATGAGTTCGGACTTGGCATGCTCTTCACGCCAAACGTCTACAGAATCAGAGGTCAGCAGGTATAAGGACCAAATAAACATGATGGAACAAAGGAATATGACTCTTAATGCTAAAACAGAAAGGCTTGAGAGAGAACTCAGAATTATGGGTGATCGACTGAAGACCTTGGAAACACGCAATAGGGACTTGGAGGCAGCCAACAGGGAGGAATGGGTAAGGCGTCTTGAATATCATCCTTTCACCCCTCCACTATTATCATCATCGTTACCATTATCACCATTATCAACACCATCATTATCGTCATCATCATCATCATCATCATCATCATCATCATCATCATCATCATCATCATCATCATCATCATCATCCTTATAATCATTTTCTTTATGTCTGCTTGCTATGTTTGTTTGACTCTACGGTTACAGTTTTATGTTTGGCGAGAAGACCTCAAGAAACAAGCGAGTTATTGGCTTGACAACCTTCATTCCCAATCGATTTACAAATGGCTGCGGCGCATTTGCATCACGGCCAAATCAAAGATATATTAGTAAAACACCTAACATCCTTTCTTAATGCTAAGAAAGCTTGCTCAACAGGTAATTGATACTGAGAGAGGATGTAGGACCTTGCTAGAGAAAAGTAAATTTCTGGTAGGATAAGAACGCGATCGACAATTGCCGCCTGTTTTGTTGTACGTGACTAACAAAGTGAGAAGCAATTAACTTGTAGGCCAGAATTGATTATAATAATAACATGCGTTTTGAAATGAGTTCAAGCATGAGCAAAGGATTGTGTCGCTTGGGGTAAGCAATATCATTAGGTGAAATACGCATACACAGAGACACAATTTTGGCGCTTCTAAACTAAAGTTAGCGCCAAATAATAATACTAACATAGAGGGGAAGACAGATTGCATGACCACGAATGCTAATTTTACACTGTGCGTTGCTTTAACCAGTGCTTATGCTCAAGTCGAGCATTTCATCGCTGGAACATTGACATAGATATAAGCACTAGGACAAGAAGCAGAGTAGGTTTTAGTTTTCTTACATTGCTACTATCATTTTTTATTATCACACAAGCATCTTGAGGTTGTGTCGCTTGTAGCGACTGGGCTTGAAAAAACACTCTTTACCATATTAAGATCACAAACATAATGGCATTTATATTAATATAAATTACGATCAAAATCCAGGGACCTTTATTATCCTAACTGACTCTCAAAAGGTCCTCAAATGATTGGTGCTTACTGGGTCTTCGATGTCATTTTAGTTTTTTTTTTATTCAGGTTCTTTATTTTCTTAAGATTTTTCCTGCTTACAAAAAATTTTATTGTTACTGACCATTGTCTAGCTAAAATTACCTATCAACAAGTTGCTTTGTTTTTACAGAATATGTACAGGAATGACCTGCGACGCTCAAGTCTGGGCTACCTGAGAGAATCCGACATAACAGGTGGAAACGATGTTTCACTGGGTTCAAATCTTGTCGGCTTAAGATTTGAGGGCAGACCGTACCAGCCACAATATTCAGCTAGGATAAGCAACTCTAATGCAGGCCAATCCTTGACAAGCCTAGGCCAGGCTTACGGAGACATTCTTAATAGGGTTCGATATACAATGCAAACGACCGGAAGCGTTTCAGATGCCCTTGGAGGTACCACAGTGGATACTGCCGGGTTTTCGAGTACAGGATTGGTCGGAGCTACAGGGATTGCGTTACGACAAAGTGGACCTGTAGGAATTAGTGATTTGCGTTACTCTGTAACAAAGCCATTAGATAGCAGAAACATAAATAGCAACGGAAGTATGGTTGGAGGTACAGGTGAAGCAGTAAAAAATTTATCGCCTGGTGGAGAAGCAAATCACCAGCCGAAGGCCTAAAAACCCACAAGAATTTTCGAAACGACTGTTAGGAATTCATAGAAAATAGACACCATGTTAGTTGAGAAAGCCCCTTGCTTAATGTGAAAACAAAAAAGTAAGAAAAACTACAAGTCAATGTTTAGTGGTATACAGGACTATTTCAGTCACGTTGCAGTATCTAAAGGGGAGGCAGTGGGTAGGGGCAATTACTTTGATTTTAATATGACAGGGTTGAGTGACTATTGGACTTGTTAAAAGTATTAAAAAAAAAAAAAAACTTCAGTATCCTCCCTCAAGGAAACAATACTGATTGCTTTGAGTGTTTTCTTCTTTGAGAAGAATATTTAAACTGCTAATTAAAAGCTCCATAACCTTTGCAAACTCAGCATTGCGTCCGTAGGACACTTAATTGTGAATTATGCTTTAAATTCAACTTTGTTACAAGTTTTTGTTTGAATGGAAAAGAAAATGGATCTAATCCAGTGCTTTCTCGTGCTTAGAAGTGTACAATTTTCTTTTGGAAATTACTGACCACGACTGCTAGGTTGCGCAAATGTAATGTTCCAGATGCTCATAGTTTATTTTAAGTCACGACAGTAAGCAATTTATCATATCAATATTAACCTGAGGGGAAAAAGCTGTATTATTAAAAGTATCAGATACAAATTAAGCCAGCAGTATACTGCATTTTTTGTAAAGCATTTTATCGCTTCTTCAAATCGTTCCTTGCTATGCAAGCTATAGTAAATAAACACCTTAAAAGCCTATGTGGGAAAAATACACCCATTTTTTTTTCAGAACTAGGTAAGACCGGAGTTACTCGAAAAATGGTTGTCTCAAACTTAGAGTTAAGCTTTTTCCTTCAGACACATGTAGCAAGATCTTTAAAACTGTTTTCAGTTTTAAGTATTTTACACAGGGTGCCAGTTTTGCTAACTCCGATTATTAAAAACTGAATCATTGGATAATGCAATTCTAGAGCTTTGATTGGCTTAGCCATCATGGTATATGAGCCATTATAACACGCTCTCCAAATATGGTAACTGTACGCGTCAGCTCAAAATAAAAAAAAACAAGCTGAAAATCGGTTTTTTCTACAAATAAAGTTGGGAAGAATTCTCGATATTTTTTTACCCTTTTTTCATAAAACAATTATTCCACTCGCACTTGTTGGATATGAGATGATTATAGCCAACTAGTATCCAACGCGCACTCGTGGAATAATTGTTAATTAAACCTTTCACTCATAAACACGTCTTGACGAGGTTATCGGTTAATATAACTCAGTTTTATTAAATCTGCGGACGAAATTCTATGGTGTTACCAATTAAATAAAACATAAAACTTCTTGTGTACTACTATTAATTTGATAGGTTTGTACGAAAAGAAATTTGAATTTTTTTATGGATTCTTTTTTCTTCGGTTACTATTAGGAATGAAGTGGTTAACAATTAAAAGCAGTTTAGAAGTAGGTTTAAGTTCTAACTTTGGGTTATTATTAAAGTAATTGCTTTCGAGTAACTCGGCCTCGCGCTGTACTGAAAGCCATTTAACAAGAGTGCCTGATGCTTTGCGTGCCCCAACTATTATATACAATACTCGTCAAATTTCGTTGAAACACTAGACTGAAACTGAGGATTTTTCATGTCTTGCCTTCTCAGCAACCTTATTTAACTTTTCCCTGTGTGTAGGTCTTCTCTCCCCCAATGGTGAGATTCGCGTGTATTTGCAATTGGGTGATACGTGAATCAACGTGACGAAGCGTTTCAACAAAATAATGTGACGAGTATTGTAGTCACTTTTGACTTCATGATAGTTTTGAAGGAAGGGAGCTGTCAATTGAAAGTTCATTATTTCCTTTTCGATAGGATGTATGGTTCTTCAACTACAATCATTAAATAACTGTGGCCCAAAATTCTCTCGCTACTTCTGCCTTACATAACAGCGACTGACTTCTACGTTTAAGTTAAGGTTTCTCTAGTAATTTATTATCAATTACAATGTATTAGGGTATTTAAACATTCAAAGTAATGGTCTGTTAAACGTTATTTTAAAATTATAATGAATAAAGGGTTTTATTTATTTGTTGATTGAATTTAATGTCCATCAAAGATGTTGGAATAAAAGAACACCTCCACCACTCTTGCACTGTCTGTCTGAAAGAGGTGGACAGAGAGCTTCTTTTTTGGACAACGTATACAATAAAAATACCTTTTCACAGATTTTGCAACTGGGCCTAAAACCTTTCATTTGAAGACGGGATTTTTAAGCTGCTTCAACAGATTTTTCAGCATTTCTTTGTGAAGTAAAAGAGCCTCTTGTATCTATGAAAAATGGCTTTCTCTTTCTCTGTCCCTAAAAACGTTTGCAAAATTTAGCCTCCTCATTTTGCTTTACTTCTGAGTCCCTTCACAGCAAACGCTCACTAAGTACTGCATAATACCCGTGCTTTGTTAACGAAAGATTAGTTTTCTAATATCATAGGCGACAAATTACTCCCTAATTTTGGCGGGAAATTTAAGCGTTTATACTACTACATGAGAAATTTCTGCAATTTGATTGGCTTAGAGCAGTGGTATTTCAGCTTAATTTGAAATACCTACATGTGAAAATTACAAACCTTTTGCGGGTAGTAGTATAAACAAATAATAGCTATGGCGACGAAGTTTTAAAATGCCGTGAATGAAGATGTCAGGGCACAAAAAGACGCTTTAGAAAACCTGAACACACAAGAGAACATCAAGAAGGATTCTAACAGGTATTTTGCCGAAAAAGTCTGAAAAATAGCTTTAAGAGCCTCAGGACTGGTTGAATTGAATCTCTTAAATTAACTGGGTTACCACTCCACTTCGCTGACCATTAAACCTAATCTACAGCTCTAAGTATTTTTGGAGGGATTTTTCTGTCTTTATACTCAAGTAGGTTATTTGCTGTTTACGGTGGTAAATGTGTGAATTTACGAGGTTATAAGTTTGGAAAAGGCTTATGACAAGGCCTCTCTTTAATCCAACTTCAAACTTTCCTTAAATAGCCAGTACACTGTTTTTACCAAATATAAAGACTTTCCTGTTGGATTTTTCCGACCTGGAAATTAATGACCACTGTGAAAAATTACTACATTTTGGGGAACCCGTTGGCAAGAGCAGAATATCGAAAGAACTCTTGATCTGGATTTTAATTCTAACGCTTAAAATAACTGAAATTGTTCAGAATATAAATTCATTGTTGCTTGGTAACGACTGTCATTAAAAATCCACGCTTACCTCCCAGGAGTAAATATAAGGACAATTAGCCAAAAGGCGGTCTTGATTTGGCCTGTGTTCACACCACACTAACCAAACAACCTGTTCCTGAAATTCAAGAAAATAAATATTACTCTAAACCAAAAAGAAAGCATTTAGCTGTCTTGTGGACTTATAAGAATACAAAAAAAACAAAAGCTTACTCGATGAGTTTAAAGGACAAAATCTGACTTGCAATAAAACATGTATATGATTATTCGAGATGAAAGTAACAATATGCAACCTCAAGTAGCTGGTGGTTAAGAGAACTATTAATCTCCCATGGCTTTTAAAATAAGTTGCAAGGGAATCAAATATAAACCAAATTAATTTTCAGGTTACAATTTCAAAATTCGATGCGATACTTAAAAGTCATTTATAAAATAACTATACGTTTTTCTGTTTGGGCCATTGTTCATTTTGTTTTAAGTTTTCCTGTATGTTTTAGACTTAAAACAATCACAAGCGCATCTTGGGCAAACACTGTGTGACCTGTTCTACAGAGATGCAAATCTGGACAACGTGATAGAAAAGACAATTCTCATTGGATGTTGCACTGTATAATCTGGCATTGCTTCAAATGATACCACTAAATTTAAAAGACCTGTTTACATTCTGCAAAGAGAAGGCTTTCACTGTCTGTTAGTTCAAGAACGGAAAAATTGAGTCGTTTTTCTTAGTATTAATCAATTGTCAATCACACGGGCTATGAAGAAGCCCATTGTTTAAAGAAGGTAAGAATCCACATTTTAAAATAGCATCTTCAGAAAAAACAAATTTCAAATACCAGTATGGTCTTATGCGAATTTGAATCATTAAGTCTGATATCTTACTTTAAAGCAGACAGTTTTTGTTTGATGTGCAACTTCTGGAACTAAATGCAGTTAAATATTTTTTCCCAAAAAAGTTTCACATCGATCGAAAACATTGTTTACTCAAGAATCAAAGATTCTAATTTTTGGTTTGTTTATTTTAACTGGTGGTTAAACCTAAAATTCTATTTCGGTTAACAAAGAATTAACCATTAGTGGCTCTTCTACTTGCAAAGCTAAGCTTTTAGTAGCTGTATCATTTTACTGAAAAGAGGTAAAAAAGGAAATCGATAACCCAGGCTACGTCGTTCCTCAGACATTTTTAATTTGAGCTACCTTTAACGACCAAAGGTTTATAAATAACATTGATTTCACTGTTACGTTTATTATAACGTGAATTGCACTTTGGGAATTGGGAATTGACACAACTGATATTGTTAATATCTTGGTAGCAATGTCCCTATTACTTAGTCCTTGAATCAGTTACCATGACCACAGTGGGTGTCATAAGATGTAAAGTACATTGTAGACTACAGCATTAAACAGCAACCCCCTTCAAGTGAGTTTCTGCGGTTCTGAAACACTTCTCATCAACATTATTTGGACTAAACAAGAACATTCACCTTTAGTTTCAGGGTAGACAACATTCTTATACATTTCCAGTTTTGGCATCACCTTGTCTAAAGGACAGTTTGTCATCAACGTAGGCACCTAATTAACACTTTCTTAACAGTTTTCCTCCATCTCTGACATTGCTACTTTCGGCCTTAGGTACATGTACCATTCACAGTTCTGTTGCACTGTTGCACCTTTTTTCCACATCATTTAGCGATAGAGGAGTTTCAATTTTCCCGTAAGGAGTAAATAGCTGTTTGGGAAATTGGTGGTACCATTGTACCCAGTACTTTTTGCTGGAAGGGCCGGG